ATTTATAAAATTGTTAATACACAAGTTCTATTATACTGCACAGTTCTTTTGCAGGCGAATTTAGAGCCGAAAACGACGCTGACGGCAGCAGAAGCGACACATTAGTGGCGGTCTAACGAGCATTCTAGCTGGAAATTCAATTAATCAGATCAGCAGTGCTTGCTTGTTAGTCATCGCACGTAGGTATACCATTTATTAACTGGGAGTGAAAGCAGTGAACGTGCGGCGATGCTGTGTCTTTCGGATCCACTACTCTCGCCTTCTTTTTCAGCACCTGTTAAGAAGATATGGCGAAAAATTGGAGAAATCGGAAAGCTACAACAGCTTTGGTTTAACTTATTTTTACCGCACACATTTTCTAAAGGTTCATGCACGAATGTTTCGCGGGGGTGCTTTGTCACCAACGGAAGTCTTTGTTGGTTTAAATATAGACCTTCTAATATTTTCTTCATCTCGTCAACATAATCCGATTATCCACGAGATTTCGTCATTTTATACCCTAATTGCTCAATACTGACGAGTTGGTAAATTGAAGCTGCACTCTGGGACTACATGTACGTATGACTACTATTTACTTCATTTACTTTTTGTTATCAATCTGAAAATGTTAAAATAACATAGAAAATGTTAAATCAACACAATAATGTTACATCATAGAAATCACACAAGCTCTATATATATATATATATAAACTATGCGTTATTTTAAATAAGTAATGGTGCTTATTACTAAGGCACACAAAACAATCTTGTATAATATATATGATGTGAGACCCAATTATTATCAAGACGATGTTTAAATTACCTTATCTTCAAAGTTTTTAATACAATTATATCATTTTATCATATATAAATCGTAGGCCAATTGTACATTATTTTTATTAGGGATTCGAAACAGTTTAAGCAATTGCAAAACAAATTTATTTAAAGCTGCATCCCTTCCTGAAATAAATTCATTCAAAATTCAAAAGAGATTCAATCACTATTCAATTGCGATTTGAATCTCAAATCGGAAATAGTTTTAATAACGAATAGCATCGTGAACCCTAGTCAATTAGGACGAGTATAACAAAAAGGCATTATATGCCATACTGAAACGGAACTTTTCATGTTTATCGAACAAATGTTATATACAATTATTTAAAAGAGATTTAATGCATATATACGTAAAATTTATTTTTGATAGTACTGCATACTTCAAATTTGCGGTTTAACATTAATTTTTTGTTAAGAGTATTGGATTGCAATTTATCTAATTAAGGCAATACTTCCGATTTTGTTGAAAGAAAATAATTTCTTAATTCAATGGTAAAAACACGCTATTATATTCTCCCCTATATCAAACTATGAATTTTTCCTCGGGGAAAATGCTGTCTCTAATCTGTAAACAAAAGTTTTGTTTTAAAGTTTTCTGTACATAAAATACAATAACGAATATTTCAAATTAAGTAACACTTTATATACATTTGATGTAAAAAAAACTGGTATTCCGCTTTCTTTTTTCATCCAGCTTTTATCGGGGGCCACCAAAAAATGTAAAAAACAACGAGGCTTAGATAAGCTGGAGAATCTGAAGACAATGTAAGCCTGTAAGACGAGGAGAGCTACCAGTTGCCGTATATATATTACATAGGTACATGGCGAGTGTGCAATGACTTCTCTCCTCTATATCTGTCTGCTGGATGTGACACTCGACGACGACGACGACGACAACGGGTTTATGTATATATAAACGTACGTGTGCACGTACAGAGTGCCGCTCGTGGCGGTCGTTGCACCCTGGCGAAGAGCCGCTCTCTCTTTTACTCGCACACTTGTACCCTCTGGTGCCATTATTGCTTCTTTACTCCGTATACATGTGTGCCTAATACACGCTGTTGTGCGCGTGGCCTTGAAAGAGGACACCTCCACATCCGCTCTCCCTCTCTCTATGGACCTCCTACACACGTAAGATATATCAACCACCGAGGGGCTGTCCACGGGATTCAAAGATTCAAGAAATAATAACGATTCAATTGTGATTTGAATCTTGAATCACAACAAAAAAATTTAATTTTTTTAGTTTAAAAAAAAGAGATTAACAGTGTTTTACACTCATACAATATTGTATTTTTATTATAATTAAGCAAAAACTTCTATTTACTAGTATCTAAAGCTCATGAAAATCAGAAAAAACTGGCAATGGGCAAAAGTGAAATTTATATTCTTATACCAAATTAGTCGCTTATAGATGCACGCCCAAAAACCAACGAATTGTTAATTGTATAAAATAGTTGAACGAGCCCAAAGTATGAGAAAAAAACCAAGCTTATTTCAATAGTTACAAGAAAACAATTCGAGAAAAATAATCGCCCCTTACGTGATACTGAACATTTAAATACAACAATAAATCCAAGTATTATGATCGTCTCCTAATATATGTTGCGTAGGTCAATGTTAAATGGTTCTTTAACAATACGCTAAAAATTCATAAAAAATGAGCACATTAGAAAAAAAAATGAGAAGAAGTGAGGACAAAAGCGACGACAAAAGTGTGAATTCAGAAGAAAATTATAGTGTTGTGTATCAATTACACTTGAGATAAGCACCTCCAAAGTATTTGAAAAAAA